AGCAAGTGCAGAGAGGACAGGAAGACTCGGGACAGCTATTGTAGACATACGACACCTCTGCTGAGAAATGTGCTCTTAAGGGAAGGGTGGGAACAGGCTGGCAGCCCTGGGTAGGTGAGGAAAGCATGAGTGGGACTGGTTTGGTTTGGTTTTAAGCTGGGGAAGTTAACAGTGGTTCCTTAAGCTCGTAGGGATGGGTCAGTGCAGAGGGCGATGCTATTGCAGGGGGAAAGGGCAGAGGTCACATGTGCAAGTGGAGTCGGCCCCTGGCGTGGCGCTGTGGAAGGCTCTCCTGACGGTCTCTGTCTTCTCAGGAAAAGGGAAGACAGATACCCAGCTTGAGGACCTGCTGGAGGTTTGAGGCAGAAAGAACGTATCAACTGACAAAAAGAGAGGCCACACATTAAGGAAGTAGGGTTGGTAGTACTGTGAGCCCCTCTGAGGTCAGTGTCACAACTTCAGAGAGACCCCTCAGCACTTTGGGGTCCTGCTGTCTGTGTGGCTCTACAGCCACAGGTGTGGAGTAGGCAGAGAGCTGGCTCTAAGCAGAACTGAGAGCAAGCAGGAGAGTCGAGGGTGAGTGCCAGGAGCCATCCAGCTTGGCTGTGGGAACCAGCTGGGGACGAGCGCAAGCCAGGCGCAGACAGAGTGGTGGGGCGGGGGAAGCTGGTCGGTCGCTGGACTGATGGGGCCGAGGCACTCAGGACAGTGAGCTGGACAGGAGGGGGCACTGGGCAGACAGAGGGTGCTTGTGACAGAGGTCCCAGGGCTCACAGCTCTCTGCCAAGGTCTAGGGGGTGGCCATGGCAGTGACTGGCTATTGTCATGAGGGAGACAAGGTCCTTAGAGCGGAGGAAGTCAAAGAAATGGTCAGGAAATGAGGAAGATTTGTAAGTGGTGTCAGGAAGTAGGGCTGATGGATGATGCCTCATACAAGATTTGTTGTCCGCAGTTTTTAGTGGGGAGCAAAGGAACAGCCTGGAAGCAGCAGGGAGCACACCTCAGCCCAGGCCCAGAGGGGTGCAGGTGTTGGGGGGACGCAGGGTCAAGCAGGACCAGGCGGATGGAGGAGGGCGTCAGGCTGGGAGGTACGCTTTGTCCTGTGGGCATTCTTCAGCAGCCTGGCAGCTGGTGTGATCAGAAGGAGACTGACTCTTTAGCGAACAGAAAAATATCTCCACTATCTAGAAACTTAAAACGAACTCTGGAGAAATCTGCCCATGTAAGAGTGTCTCAGTAGAGCTACCCCATGGTCCATAGGTGGGAGACCGCTGCTATGACGAGGGCATGTACGAGGCTGCCAAACTGCTGTATAGCAACGTCTCTAACTTTGCCTACCTGACGTCCACCTTGGTCCACCTCGGGGAGTATCAGGCAGCTGTAGACAGCAGCCGCAAGGCCAGCTGCACCTGCACGTGGAAGGAGGTAAGCTGCAGGATGTCTCCCTGCTGTGTTCCACACTCTTCTTCCACACAGGACGAGTCTGGGAGCTGGCCCTGTCCAGGCAGGGTCTGAGTCCTCCGGGATGGCTCAGGGAACCTTACAGGCTGGTGTTTGTGCTTGGAAGCAAAGGCCCAGGAGGACCCTCTGTCAGACCAAGCAGCTCCCAGCAGTTGTCTTGATAGCATGGAATTATCAGTATTGTAAGTATTATCATAACA